AGGTGTCCGTGGGCATCCTGTTTACCTTCACCCTCCCCTTCAACAAAACCAGCAGGAGCTCGGCACCTGAAAGATCACCACAGCACACTCAGGGACAGCACACTCAGGCACGGCATCCTCAGTCACGGCACACTCAGCCATAGCACACTCAGCCAGGGCACACTCAGCCATAGCACACTCAGCCAGGGCACACTCAGTCACGGCACACTCAGCCATGGCACACTCAGCCACGGCACACTCCGTCACGGCACACTCAACCACGGCACACTCAACCACGGCACACTCAGTCACGGCACACTCACCCATGGCACACTCAGCCAGGGCACACTCAGCCACGGCACACTCAGCCACGGCACACTCCGTCACGGCACACTCAACCACGGCACACTCAACCACGGCACACTCAGTCACGGCACACTCAGCCATGGCACACTCAGCCACGGCACACTCAGCCAGAACACACTCAGTCATAACACACTCAGCCAGGGCACATTCAGGCACAGCACACTCAACCATAGCACACTCAGCCATGGCACACTCAGCCATAGCACACTCAGCCACGGCACACTTAGCCACAGCACACTCAGGCACAGCACACACTCAGGGGATAGGACAGTGTCTGTGGGCACAGCCCCTGGTCAGGGAGTGGGGAAGTGTCTGTGGGCGCAGCCCCTGGTCAGGGAGTGGGGAAGTGTGTGTGGGCGCAGCCCCTGGTCAGGGAGTGGGGAAGTGTCTGTGGGCACAGCCCCTGTGCCCAGGGTGCCGGCAGGAGCTGTGGCCGGAGCTGCCCGCTTGCATAGGCAGCCCCCCCTGGGACGCGCTGGTGGCATTGCTCTACTCCTTGGCGTGACTTTGTCCGTGGCTTGCTTCCAGCCTGTTCCTTTCCCGTTTGGGGCTTCTTTGCTGACATCAAGCTCTACTAATAATTAGGTGCTTCAGAAGCGCAGGAGGAGGCCAGGTAGCTGGGGCAGGATGTGGGTGTGGAGGCAGCTGGGAGCACAGTGGCCTTTAAACCTGGAAGAATGTCTCTAGTGCCCTCTTGGGGGCACTTCTGAGAACTGCAGTGGAAGCAGCTAAATCATGAGCTCCCTTTTCTTTACTTCCAGTTTAGGGAGAAGACCAATCTAACGTGGCATAAAGTCTGAGCTGGAGATCTTTTCTGAACAAAACAATGGTTTTAAAATTTTCAAGAGTTTATGTAGCAGTGACAGGGCCCGAGCCGCGGCCAGGAAACTGAAGTTCCTGATGGGTAAGATTCAGCAAATAGTTCAGTTCTTGTTTAAGCCAATATCTGGATAAAATCAGTTTTACAGTGAAAATAATTCTGGCCGAAACCGGTTTGGCTCAGTGGATAGAGCGTCGGCCTGCGGACTGAAGGGACCCGGGGTCGATTTTGGTCAAGGGCATGTACCTGGGTTGCGGGCACATCCCCAGTAGGGGGTATGCAGGAGGCAGCTGATCGATGTTTCTCTCTCATCGATGTTTCTGACTCTCTATCTCTCTCCCTTCCTCTCTGTAAAAAATCAATAAAATATATTTTTTAAAAAGAAAGAAAAGAAAAGAATTCTGGTGTTTGCCCTTAAGAAGAACTCAACATCCATTTTCCCCAGGCCCGCCAGGCCCTTGTCTGCCATCCTCGCCCACCACCCAGCACGTACTGCCTTTTCTCCAGGCTGCGTGCTCCTGTACCTCTACCCACTGTGACTGCTGGCAAGTCTGGGTGCCGGTTTGTCTCTGGGTGTATAGTGCCCAGGAGTTTCCCCTGCAAAAGGCCCATGGCCCACAGAAGTGTGAACACAGATGGCCAAACCCAACAATGTCGCTTCTAGGAATGTATCTTCCTGAGAAACACACTAGTGTGACATTCTAATTGAATACTGGCACTCTTATAGTGTTTTTAACAGCAAAATATTGGCAATAATATGACTGCCTCTCAACAAGAGAATCCTAAATAATAAAAGCGCATTATGCAAATTGTCCCCTCAACCAGAGTTCTTCCAGGAGTTCGACCAGGGAGCGGGCCGGCTGGAGGAAGGGAGGGAGGCTCTGGCTGGCAGCTGGCAGCTGTGAGGGACCATACCAGTGCACAAATTCCGTGCACTGGGCCTCTAGTAGAAAATAAATTGTGGTACAATACAATGAAATACCTGGTAGCCAAAAAAAGAGAGTGATGTGGAAAATCTACAAGATATATTGTTATATAAAGAAAGTACATAAGCCCTAGCTGGTTTGCTCAGTGGATAGAGCATTGGCCTGCAGACCAAAGGGTCCCAGGTTTGATTCCAGCCAAGGGCATGTACCTTGGTTGCAGGCTCCTCCCGGCCGGGCCCAGGTCAGGCTCGTATAGGAGGCAACCAATCGATGTGTTTCTCTGGCATCAATACTTCTCTGTCTTTCCCTCTCCCTTCCACTGTCTCCAAAAATCAATGGAAAAGCATCCTTGAGTGAGGATTTTTTGTTAAAAGTGCACACAGTATACTAGCATAGGTGTGTGTGTGTGTGTGTGTGTGTGTGTGTGTGTGTGCACGCGCGCACGCGCGCGTGTGAGTAATGTATGCAATTGAATATTCCTAGAAGAGTACATAAGCAACCAATAATGTTGGAGCCTTAGAGGAGGGGAACTGGCGGGTTTTGGACAGGAATAAGAGGGAGACTTTGTAAGTTTTCATCTCAACCTTATGTATTTTCAATATGTGTATTTACTTTTTCAGACATATATAACAAAAAGGATGTTCTCTGCCACATGGAGACTGACTGGAAGCTGGAAGGGCAGTGTCCGTGTGAACCAGGAGCAGAAGCTGTAGGTAGGTTAGCAAATTTCATGCATTTCTCTGTATTTGTTTCTTTTGTTATTCCAGGGCTTTCAGTAAAGTACATATGATAACCTCAGTGTTTTTTAGTTAAAATTTTTCAAGTATTTCCTTTATTTTTATGTATAAAAAGTTAGAAAGTTTATACTTAAGGTGACCCAGAGCAGGAGCTATAGATGATTATTTAGAGATCTTACAACTTGTTTCCCTTCCTCGTTCCACTGAATTGGATCAGGCAGGTTGACTTCAATAGGACACATAGAGCTGCCCCCACCATGACTGCCGGCAAGTCTGGGTGCTGGCTTGTCTCTGGGTAAATGGCACCCAGGAGTTTCTCCTGCAAAAGGCCCATGGCCAATTTTTTAATGAAAAATTTGGAACCCAATTGCAAGAATATCTAGTCAAATCCAGGCCTCCTCTGAGCTGCTTTTCTTGTTTTTGGAGAGGGAAAGATGGGATTCCTCTGAGTCTTTTGGGTTTAATCAGTAGCCCATCTTTAGGTATGAGAGGGCAGGGCATTTTACTTCAGGTAAGCAAAATTGAAGCTTATCTTTTGAGACCTTATGTCCTTTATGGCTAGCTGGTGCAATAAATATGTTGCATCTTCTTGGGTGTCTAATGCGTCCTACAGCATAAAAATAAAGTTTCTACATATTGGATTAGAGCAGAATATCTGAAAAATTCAACACCATTCAAATCAGTTTTTAGTACTGAAGACAATAGGTGGGGCTCTCTGTATATCCCTGGGGCATTACAGTCCAAGTAAACTTGTAATCCTCCCAAGTGAAAGCAAAGAGGTCTCTCTCCCTCTCTCTCTCTCTTCCTCTCTCTCTCTCTCTCTTTCTCTCTTTCAGAAATGTGCTAAAGGTATGACATAAATCCATCGCTGAAAAGTATTGACCGTTCACAGGCATGGCTGATAATAGGTTTGTGGATTTGGAACCTCGGGATGTCTGGGGATAACTATCATATTTGTAGCTCTGAGATCCTGTACATCATTGTGTTGTAGGCGGCTGGAAACAGCACCAGGAACTAGACTAGTGGAGTCAGATTGGACCTGGGTTCAGTAACCTCGTACTTTCCTAGCCTCGTCTGGCTAGGAAAGAATTCAGAGGCAAGACTCTAACTATAAGAGAACATTTATTTATAAAATCACAGAGGTGGCCCAGCTGGTGTGGCTCATTGGTTGAGCATCGACCCATGAACTAGGAGGTCACAGTTCGATTCCCAGTCAGGGCACTTGCCTGGGTTGCAGGCTTTATCCCAAGTAGAGGCCGTGCAGGAGGCAGCCAATCAATGATTCTCTCTCATCATTGATGTTTCTCTCTCTCTCTCTCTCTCACTCTCTCTCTCTCTCTCTAATCAATAAAAACATAAAAAAATAAAATCACAGAGGTGGAAGAAGTAATTCCTAGAAGAAATGGGCTTAGGAAACACGATATAGAAGCAAAGGAAGGGCCCTTGGAGCTTGGGAGTGAGGAGGCTAATGGTAAGGTGCCCGGTGGGGAGCAGGGGAGGAAGGGAAGGGCATAGGCATGCTCCCAGGAGGGAGGCACACAGGTCCTCCTTCCCAAGGGTTTAAAGGGTGGAGATTGTAGGGGAGGACCGAGGGGACCTCAATAGGTTTTGCTGTTTCTCTAGGTCTAGAGCTGTAATACAACTGAGGCCCAGACGTTATCTCTAGGGAGGAAAAGTCAGGGTCCAACCACAGGACCAGTGAGTGGTGTGCTAGGGGAGGACAGGCCACTCACCCCACAGTTGTCGTTTGCTGGGCACCTGGGGCTTTCTGCCTGGTGACTGCTGTACCCGGCCATCGTCCTTGCTCTGCTCATGTCTGTCTAACTGCACGACCACAATTGGTTTCAAGAAAATCTTGCCTTATCAGGTGAATTGGGGCAGATTTGCTTAGCAAAACTATGCATTGCCCCATAGCAATCCCTAGTGGGAAGGGGACAGGTTCTTATTAAAAAACAGTTGTTGGTTGATTAGACATCCCTACCATTTGCACAGAAGCTTTCCTCTGAGGGAGGAGGCAGCTAAGATGGGTTCAGAACAGAAAATGTAGCCCCAGTATCTATAAGAGCCTTAGTAAGTTCTCCTTCTTATGGTAATTTTAATTTCTCCTAAATTACCAGTGAGGAGGACAAACACCCTCGCAGAGTTCTTGGAGCAACCATATGCTTGCTTCTGCTTCTCTTCCCTTCCTAAATCCCATTTCAGCTTTCTGTAATCCTTCTTAAGGCAACCTGACTGTCTACAATAAAAAAAGACTCCTCTGCACATTTCCCAGCAAACCCTACTTAGTAATCCTATTGCTTTTGCTCCCAGAAACCAGTAGGTATGTTAATTGGAACAGGTCAGAATAGCCAGGCGCACATGTTCTAATTGTTAAATTAAACTCCTTTATGAACCCATCAGAGTCCTGGAGAAAATAGGGGAGATGTGTAGGTAGATTTCTTAATTCTATTCTAGTCCAAGGAATATATGTAATCACTGGGTCCCCTCTGCCTGGGACTGGCTTTTCCCTGAAGGGAGCTGATAGAATTCCTAGATTATTCTTGTCTACATTTTTAAAAATATTTTTTACTGATTTCAGAGAGGAATGGAGCGGAAGAGAGAGATAGAAACATTGATGGTGAGAGAGAATCATTGATCGGCTGCCTCCTGCACACCCCCAACTGGGGATCGAGCCCACACAGGGCAATGTATCTTTGACCGGACTCAACTAGGGACCCT